AATCGACTACTAGCCTGTAAATACTAATTATCCAGGAATTAATAAATTCCATCATTTAATTGTTATATACAAACCGCAGCTTCTCTTGTATAATATATATTATTTTTGTATTTTTGACGTATATGCTATGTAGATATAATATAAATGAATGTGTCATAATTTTTAAGAATATAAATATATAATATGTATAGCTGTAAGGCACAAATCTAATAGGACACAATCAACATTTAAAAACTTCTTTTTATACAGATGAGGACATACCCTCAAATATTTACTTACCATCTCTTTGTTGGTGGTAGCTTTTTCAAGGACAGCATCTAACCAGTCCCATTGCCGGCGAGCGTGCTGTGTATTCTCTTCTCGCACCGTGAACAAATTCGTGTTCAAAGCGACGATTCGAAGCTTACTCTGCGTTTGCTCTATGGTGTAGTACCCTCCTGTTGAAAATAAGTAATGAGAGACAAAGAGATAATGGTTATGAAAGAAGAGTATACAAGGACGGAGTTCAATTGATGGAAGTTGAAACACTTCAAGCATAACAACTAAAAATGTAAGCTGAAACCAAAACCAAACATTAAATATCCAGATTTTTAGAAAAGGAAGTTTAGGAGAATTTTAAACTAATAAGAAAATGTGTGTGCGTGGAAATCGAATCCACGGCCCATAAATTATTATTAGCCATACCTAATAAGCTAAGACTGATCAATTTATTTGGATCTTATATAAAATTTGATTAGAGCCGTTTATCAAGCACAGTTGTGCAAAGTGGATTTAAATTTTGCCATTCATTGATATTTTAGATCTTCAAATACTTTATAACTGTATAATTTAAAAATCGAAATTAAATTGAAACAATTTTCGACTCGGGCAGGACTTGAACCGGCATCGTCAGCGTTCCGTGCTGTTGCTCTACCAATTGAGCTACCGAGTCACTCGGTAGCTCAATTGGTAGAGCCTTCATGTGTGTAACTGTAACTGTCCCTGCTTTAATAAGTACATATATTTTGATAAATTTAAACCTACTATAGAGCATAAAATACATAATCCGGGAATTAACAACAAAATTTTATTTAGTCCAAATTTCTATAGACCTTAAACAAAATCCTATTTTTAATTAGGTAAAAAGAAAACTTCCGTATTAATAAAAACCTAATTATTATAGGAGAAGTAATGAATACGTTTTTTATAGTTCACTGTGAATCAAAGCGCAAATTATCAAGCTCTTTTTTCACCGCGACATAAATTCAGCGAATTATGCAGTCTATAACGTAATTTTTGCCCGACACGATATTAAAGCGGTGTTATTAAATCCTTTTCATAGCCTGTTCTACGTAAAAAGCACTCTTCGCTTTGAATAAAAGTCTACTCGTGAATAAAAAGGCCATAAACCTACCATTTTTCAGTGTTTGCAATGCCTCCATGGGTAGCCAATGGCTCCATAAATTCGTTAGCCTCTCCGAGGGCGCAGGGTCCGTATGCCCCAATACGGGGAACACGAAGTGAGAACTGAACGTCATCCTTAACAGCTCCGTCATGTTTCTTATCGCCTGGTACCTGTCGTCCTCGTTGTTGTTGTATCCAGCGGAGATAATGTCACTAAATAAAAAAAGCAAGTTTTAAAGGTCAAGGTCTAAACTAAGCAAAAACCTTAATGTACTTTTACTTAATTTAAGTTACTTATGTTCCTTAACTTTAGTCATTATATGCGCCTCTGCCTATTCTACTTATAAACTTCTTTTGGCTAAATGGCTAAACTGTTTATGATAACACAGAAAACGGACGGAAAATTTCGCAAACGCCAAATGCGTACTAAATCACCTCTCATAATAGTAACTATTGAGCAATGTAAATTATGAACGTAATTATTTTAATACAAGCCATAAATTAACTTTTCTACGTGACTTACCCTGTCCATAAAACGAATTCAACGTTTTCTGAATGACGCGTGCGCATATATCGTAACGCTGAATGTATTAGTTCTATCGAACTGTCGCAAGAATAGTCGCCGAAGCGTCCCAGGGCGCGGTGATGGCCGGAACTACCTCGTTCGTCCGTTCGACGACAATCTGTTAAGAACTCTTTATTTATTTGTACCCCTAGTATGTATCACTTTTAAACGAATTAAAACTAAATATGTTAAACAAAAAATATAATTTACTACTGCGCATATAAAACTAAGTATCTAATTATATACATATATATAAATATGTAAACACCATTTTCATTTTAAATAGATAAATTTTAATATACAATCAATTATAATTAATTATTTTATAAATTATTTATTTATTTACGTATAGAAAACTTACAGCTAGTACAAGTACAAGATAGTCGACAACTTAGATAGATATCAGAAAACCAATTAAAAGTTTCTCTATTAGATCCAGAAATATATAAAAAATACAAAAATATAATGTACTGTACTACTTACGCTTTCTCGTGTCACCCTGCGATGTGTATAATGGGTCATAATGAAAGTCTGTGATATGCCAAAAGTAACCTGAAACAATAATTTTATTTTATACAAACGAAAGTAGAAAGCGTTTAACATATTAAAGTATAAATTAACAATACTATAATATAATATTACTTATTATTATGAGGATTTCGACCGCCTCTGTATCTAATGGATAAACGTATTGCCTAGCGTTGCGTTAAGCGCCAGAGGTTTTGGGTTCGAATCCCAGTGGAACAAACATTGTTCCGGTCGGGCAGGGCACAGAAGTCTGATCAACTTGCCTGTTAAAGAACAGATAAACGGACACAAAAATGTGTTATATATAGTTAGTAATAAAATATTGATTTTAAAACTTAATTTATGTGTACACGTAATAAAACGTAATAAAACGTAAATAAACTGCATAATCATGTTTAAAAATCAACGTTCACTGGAGTTAAAATATACTCTGAAAAACATATTCAAACGTTGGAAAGTGGCACAAAAAGTAGCGACGTGTGCTTAATGATTCCCAAAAGATATTTCGAACATTCACGCTCATTAGTCCGTGGCTACGTCATTAATCAATCGCTTTTTATTTAACTGAGTTCGAGAGAAACGTTAAAAATATAACGACAACATTCTCCATTCGAGTATAAATGAAATTCTTTTAGAGCACGCCGCGGGAAAAATATTGCGATAAATAACGCCTTAGAAGGGACAGTAAATAGAATTTTATTTACGGGTAATTGCCTATTAGATGCTAACATTGACTATTTCGAACAATATTTCCTTTGTTATTTATATTGTTCCGGAAAGCTCGGGTTTGGGTTTAAGGGAAGTAATTTTTTTGGGGAAAAGGGTTTTAAAAAAAAAAATTTTTTTTTTTTTTGGGGGGAATTTTTTGGTTTTTAAAAAAAGGGGGGGGGGGGGGGGTGTGGGTTTTTAAAAATTAAAAAAAACTGGGGGGGGGTTTTTTTTTTTTTGGGGGGGGGGGGGTTTTTTTTTTCTCTTTTTGGGGGGGGGGGGGGGGGGTTTTTTTTTTTTTGTTTTGCCCAATGAGGGGGGGGGCCCCCCCCCCCCCTTTTTTTTTTTTTTTTTTTTTTTTTTTTGTTTTTTTCCCCCCCCCCCCCCCCCCCCCCCCCCCCCCCCCCCCCCCCCCCCCCCCCCCCCCCCCCCCCCCCCCCCCCCCCCCCGGGTTTTTTTCCCCCGGGGGGGGGGGGGGGGGGGGGCCCCCCCCCCCCCCCCCCCCCCCCCCCCCCCCCCCCCCCCCCCCCCCCCCCCCCCCCCCCCCCCCCCCCCCCCCCCCCCCCCCCCCCCCCCCCCCCCCCCTTTTGGTTTTTTTTGGGGGGGCCCCCCCCCCCCCCCCCCCCCCCCCCCCCCCCCCCCCCCCCGGGGGGGGGGGGGGGGGGGGGGCGGGGGGGGGGGGGCCCCGCCCCCCCCCCCCCCCCGCCCCCCCCCCCCCCCCCTTTTTCCCCCCCCCCCCCCCCCCCCCCCTTTTCCCCCCCCCCCCCCCCTATACAGAAATACTAGTATAAAGTAGGTTTAGAAGTCATTTACTGGTGGCAATGTCTGGCTAATAATCGACGGATTGTTCTGTGGTTCGATTTTTAAATCTGGAATTTAATAGGTAGGAATGTCGAAATTCCATACGCCTCACGAACAAAATTCTACAAATGAATAAACCGTTAAATTTAATCGCGTTTCGGTTTTAGCCTTTGTATTTCCTTATATCAGCAGCCAAAAAAGCTCGACAGCGCATCTTGTTTAAAGCTTAAGTTCTCTTGTTTTAAGCTGGGGTATTTGTGATGCTCAAGTGAATCTCATGCTTATCTATCCTACTCTGTCATTAAGTAAATAAATAAACTAGTTAAACTTATTTGAAGTCTGAAAGTCTCCCCGTTACCACGGCTGCTGCAAAGCATCCAAAACGTAGAGCCGAAGTTAAAAACAAGTTAAACCACAAAAACAACGAATATATATCGCGTTTTGAACCGGTAAAGGTTTTTATTTATACATACATAATAATACATAAATCGTTATTACGCAAAGACCTATTAGTATCTTTTGAAAATGTTTTGGAAAGCAAATTTATTACGTTAGCTGTTGACATCGCCTTGACATTTCGTAGCACGCTCGTAGCTTTCCTCAGATTGACGTTCTACGAAAATGCGTAGAATATCCACAAGCTACAATGATTTTTAAATAATACAACATGTTTGATATACCAATTGGGCAAATTACAAATACCAGCAGAAATTGTATGCTTGTTTTCTATTAAGGTTTAACCTAAAACTATGCTCTTTATAATTTTAAGCAATTAAGGTATGCAAACGCAAGAATGATACAATATTTTTCTATTTACTTAACTTTAGCAAGAATAGTGATAATCATAATTTGAACTTAAGAAATAGCTATCCCCAAATATATAGACTCCATAAAATAACTTATCCATTTGCGGGGCGCTGTATTCGTATTTATAATGACGTTGTCAGTTGAGGTGTCAAATTTATCGATAAGTAAGTTTAAAAAGTTATAAAATTTAGATTGTCTCGAAAGGAGTCTTATTGTCTCAACAATTTCTTTAATGACAAGCCTGGCCAGTAATATGAATTGCTTTTCAGGTTAATAAATTCACAACAATGTATTAGTTTATAAAACATGTTTAAAAAGACGGACTGAGTTATGAGTCACTATATTTTATTTTACTTATTTTATATCAATAAATTGAGACCTCAATTTAAAACATTATTTCATTTCAAAACCTCAGTTGGTTTAGCATAACGTTAATTGTTAATTAGCTACCAATCTAACACTTTTAATTAAGCATATGTTTGAAACATATAATGGTAATTGTTGATAGTTAATTCCGAACTGGATCGTTTGAGAGATGTAATTAAAGCTGTCTTTTCCATATTTCACAGTTAATTTGGAGTGAGTGATTAAACGTTACAATTTTAATTCATTTTAATGTGTATCAAAGGGACCACTTTTAATTTATAATTAGCATGAATTACTTAAAAAGGTGTAATTAATGGTCTCTTTATACTATTATTGAAGTGTATGGATACTAAAAAGGTTTGCTTAGAGCCAAAGTAAATAACGTCAGTTATATTTACTAATATATAAAGTTGAAGAGTTTGTTTGTTTGAAATCGCTAATCTCAGGTTGGTTAGAACAATTATTTAAGAAGGTATCATCGCGTTGTGACGAATAGGAGCGAATAAAAACCGGAAAATATGAAAAAACGGGGAACAAATATTTATTTTTGTGGATTTCCAATGCGTACACTGCGAAAACAGTTTAAGGCACCTAAATATATGTATCAATTAATGATTTCCCTTAAAATGATGCGAGCGACGGAACGAAACCGATGTCATTAGTAACAGCTTTAAATTACAAAGATGAGGCAAAAAGGAATTTGGATGCCCAAAATAACTATTCTATGCGGACAAAGCCGCAGACACAGCTAGTGTACCAATAAAATTTGTCCGAAGTATTATAATTTTTCATTTATCTAAAAGACTTTACCGCCTCTCCCCCTCCACGCTCAGTTGTAAGACGTGGTGCGCCTTGCATTACGTTAAGTAAAATTAAGCTCTTCGAGGTAGGTAGAAAGTCGGTTTAATTTTTTTCTAGAAATTTGTTAATTCGGTTCAATATTTTAACGTTTTTGACATTAAATAAAATAACAGGTATTTCTTAATGTTACTAATAGTGCTTTCTTTTCAATTACAGTTGGTTATTAATCTATATGGATACCGCGGGCATAAACTAATTTATAATATAATTACCAAAAGAACGCAGCGAAAACGAGATGCGAGTTAAATAAAGACAGGGTAATGATGATTTATGGCGCAACAGTGAGCTGGGACCGGCAACTGGAAAAATTTCAGAGAACGCAATAATATGAATAATATTCACGTTACTCAGTGAACACACGATTACATGTCACTGTGTTTTCTGTTGCAAATAAAACGATTACGACAAGGAACTGACGTCGCACAAATGAACTCGAATTTAACATTGACTTTTTTAACTTTACATATTTTTAACATTCATTTTCCATGATTTATTATGTGATAATGTAGTCATTATCTATGAAAATAAAGTATAAATCTACTTGGTTAAAATTAGTCAAGCATCTTAGATTCTACTTATTTAGTACGATTATAGAGTAGGTAAAGACCGTCTCTGTAGCCAAATGCTTAAACGTGTCCAGAATTACGTTAAGCGTGGAATCTCTTGGCTTTGTTGAATTGATTGTTTCGGCCGGGCGGGGCACAGAAGTCTGGTCGACTGTTAAAGCATCAGTGAAACGGACACAAAAATGTGTTCAAAATAAAATATACTTTATTCTTTTTAAAAAATTATTTAGATTCGTCAAAAGTTATTTGTTTGTCTGTCTGTTTGTGGTGATTCTACAGAATGTTAAAAATAGCAACATAACTGAGAAGAACACCCAAGAAACTCAGTCCGGCTTTTTTAAACTTGTCTTATAAACTAATACATTGTGAATTTCTTAACCTAGGGAGCATATTACTGCCAGGCGGTTTTGTCATTAAAGAAATCAACCGTATGCTCCACGCAAATGTAATGTATAGGAAAATAGGAAACTATTTTTTTCTAAGATTCAAACCTTTGACTTACACAAATCACGACGATGACAAGGATTATGGTTATTTTAGACTTTTTTAACATACTAAACTGACACTATATTGAATATATGACCATAATATCTTGGTTGAGTAATTTCTTTTCCTTTAATCTGTGAGTGCACAAACTGTATCAAAACCTGAAATTCAGTAGTTATGAATTCACAGTTGCAAAGCGAATCCAATTATTTCTCGCAGTGACCACAAGATTGCGGCTTGCGACGAAGCGAGGTTATAAATGTTCTATTTGACCAGAATTATGGGATTTCTACTCTTACAAATACCGAGTTAAAAACTCTACTTACATGAAACTAGGAACTTTTTATTACATTGGAAAATTCATGACTTCCACATGTTAATGGGCTAGAGCTTAATTAATTTGAATGAGATCTTTTAAAAGGCCGGAGT